GAATTTGCTGACGATTCAGTCCGCAGATTTCCCCAGTCCACCATGGGTGCATTGAAGTCCCCTAGGATTAGACATCGATCACTTCGTGATAAAGTGTTGAGACTGCTTAGCAGGACCTTGTTTGCCCCACAGCTTGGACTGCGATAGATCAAACTAAGTGGCAACTCTTGTCCCCTGCATTTCAGGCGGCTGCTAACTAATTCATATGTCCCACTCTCATGGGATACACTGTCGATAATGGTGAATGGAATAGCATTCCTAATAAATAGAGCTACTCCCCCTCCTTTACAAGTTTGTGTTCTGTCGGCCCTTACTAATGTAAAACCCTCGAAATCAAGTTCCTTACTATCTATAGACGGCGTCAGCTATGTTTCTGTGACTGCGATTATGTCTGGCCTAGTTGAGTCAATCTGTACACCTAGTTCCGGTAGCTTATTGAGCAAGCTCCGGACATTGGTATAACAGATCCGAAGCTTATTTAGGTGGCCTCGTGCTTCACCCAGAGTGGCTTCGGCATCATCCTCTGTCGAAGCCTCACAACCCGAAAATTTACAATTTTCAGGTCTTTTTCGCCGGCGTCTAATCTGAGCTGTAGTTCTGTTTCGGCTTCCCGTCTTTTAACACGGTCCGCCAACGGTATGTCCTTACGGAGAAAAACTGAACCCTTTAATTTGTGTCCATTTTCTAAGATTAAGTCGCGTTCGTTTGGGGATTTGAAAACGACTTTGAGTAGTCTAGATTGATTTGGTTTCAGGTGCGCTAGATTTCCCAGTCTATACACCTTTAGCAAGGTGACCCCGGGGACGTTTTTGGGTATAACTTGGTTGAGTAGTTGTCTTATCAACACAATGTCATGCTCAAAAACGAGCTTTCGGTTCTAAGCTGTCACTCTCCTTGACTCTATGAAGAATGACTGATCTGTCGCTGTGATCAGACCTCGGCTTGTCGACCCTTTTGGTGGGGGTATGATTTCCTTTTACGTCATTTTGGCTTTTTTTTCTTACGACCCGTACCCAATCGCCAACGTTCTTTGGAGTGGTAACCACATTCGCGTCAGGCGTACTGTGGGATTCCGGAAAGTTCAGGACGACTTGGGAGATTGAGTCATCTTTCGCGCTGGAAACCGATCGAGCCTTGCGGTTTCGGCTTCCGGAAGTTCCCTTCTGGGTACCATTTTTGATACGAGGGACAGAAGAGACTTTTTTGCGCGAGTTTCTGGTTGTGACAGACCCCTTTGGAGGATGTTCTCCCTCCTTTGTAGAGTGTGGGTCGGCATTTTTCGGACTCACTTGGGCCTGCCTTGTGTCAATCTGCGTGTCGACAGATTGAGTTCTGACTGATGTATCCCGACCGCGCTTGCCGAGACACTTTTTTGCGGCATTTACTATTGAGATGGCCTCGGTTAACAGGCTATTTGCATCCAAACAGCACTGTTGACATAGCCATACGCACCCATTTTTACTGAACCACTTGAAAGCTGCAGGTGTTAGATTTGTTCAAACTTCGTGGTACCAACCTTTGCACTCATCGCACTGCATGCCGCTATCAACAGGATATCGACATCCTGGGCGGTGGCAAATGCTTTTGTTGCATCTTCCAGTCATTTTAGGATGCGAAAGTGAGTGTTGACTATAAGTAGAAAAAAAAACTATAAATAGTTAGGACTAAAGTACTAACAGACACAATAGAAAAACAAAGGTACTCTGGAGTACCGACGACAAAACTATTTAGGATACCAAAAATGATACTCTAATAGAACACTTTAACTGAAAGAAATTCAATCAAAGTATAAAAACAGTAGTCTTGATACGTTAATAACGATCAAAACAATAGAATTTACTCAACGAGGAAAAATACCACTGTCCTTTTTAAATAGCGCGGATCGTGTTGTATTCGTACCTAGCTTCCGGACTCTTTTAGGAGGACAGCTGGTCAATGACTGACTTCTCTGAAAGGCCTGAGTTGGGGAGTCCTGAGATTTCCCTTCTTTGGCTCTAAAGGACTACGATTGGTGGACAAACCAAGCAGATGACAGAAAGCATCTCTTGAATTATGTTAGCGAATTTATTTATCTATACGGCTGTATATTTTGTCATTATAGCTGACAAGACTTCGTGGTGCAAACATTAACTCTAATCTTCAATTTCAAATCGGCACTTAAACTCTTAATTTTAATTACTCATACTAATACATAACCGTGACCCAGTAAGTCTTCAGTTTTCAGTAGTAAGGAGGAATGATCAATAGACCTATGTTAATCCTTGCAAATTTTAGTGCTATAGATATTCATCCTTGCTTGAACAAATCAACAAAAGGTGCTGATATTACGTGTTGTAGTAGAGAATCGCTGTAATTCTCTACTGAGTGCGAGAAAAGGGACTCCAGACATAAACGATTTGATCTCGATTTTATACACTTCCTTAATACTTCCTCTCAGATGATCAGTCCTAGATGAAGGGAGAAGATAAGACAATAATTTCAAGATCATCGTTCAGTATACGGTAAGCTAGTATTGTCACCTCGTAACTTGCTGTAAGATAACGGAAATGGGTTGGGGAGTCACAGTTTGTCTTCGTAAGATGGACCAGAGAGACCTTTTACCATTTTAACTCTTCTCCGCTGAACTCGTTCTGGCATATTCGCCTCATACTTGAAACAAGGACTCGCTGCTTGGACCCCATAGTCCAAATGAGGCCTCACAAAATTCGAGTATAATACCCTAGACATTTCGTCTGTGTACTGAAATGACTTACAAATAGTCAATAAGACCCTAAAGCCCTTGGCAACAGTAGTCTTGCAGTTACTCATAATTTTGGGGTTTTATGAATCCTATATTTTTATAGTTCATAACTTTGGGTAACAACTCCACGTATTGTGTTGTAATATGAATCGTCGCAGTTATTTAATCGCGTCACCACACTCTTGTTAGAGATGACTTCTAATGACTTATCCATTCATTCAACTAGTGAATTTGGATCAACCTGCACTATAATTCTACCTGACATACTGTGTTTGGATCTCCAAATATTTATTATCTACAAGGAGGAAGACTAATAAATTCGCTACAGTTTTTAAGTCTTACGTGGTTGAATCATCTGGTGACCCCTTGAATGTCTCTCGGAGGTTGTTCATAAATAATGGTCTCTCCCTTTTATCTTTGCTGTGCTGATATAGGGTTCTAAAGGTTTATCTGGCGAATCACACATATTTTAGGGTTCCTTGTATTCCGTGCCTTCTCCGAGGGTTTTGAATTTCAATTTTGAGATTTTGTTAATCGACTTCGTCAACGCCTACTGTGTTATAGGGGTACTCCGTTATTCAGAACTGTTTCTGAATTGACGATGATGCTCAATGTGTCATCAACAGCTTTTAATTGCCCCATGTTATATACAACCTACTATTGACCTGTCGGAAGCTTTCAAGGTGTGTTCAACACCTAGAGCACTCTAAATATCGACGGAGGCCTTGTAGAACAGCATGCGTTGCACAGCCGGTTTGTTTTTTGCTTGCAACATCTGTTGTGTGTAGCCGGAGTGAGTCCGATGCTCATGTCATGGTACCACTTGTTACAGCTGTAACATTGCATTCCATTCTCGATCGGCAAGAAGCATGTATAAGAATGATGTTTTGTCCGGGTCATTTAACTTGATTATTGAACTCATAGAAAAGTATACCAAACGCAAAAGTGTTTTTCAGAACTACTAAAATGATTAACACTAGCCTGCGTCAACACCTGAACTAAGGATAGGAAGTGAAGTAGTCGAACGCGTCGACAACTTCACTTATCTTGGAAGTCTGATCAGCCCTAATTGGTTGGTGTCTGACGAAATCTCAGCACGGATTCAGAAAGCTCGTTTGACTTTTGCCAACTTACGTCACCTATGGCGTAGACGAGATATCCGTCTATCAATTAAGGGACGAGTGTGCTGAGCAGCAGTTCGCTCTGTTCTACTTTATGACTGCTAAACGTGGCCATTAAGAGTAGAAGGTACTCGTAATTTACTGGTATTTGACCACAGATGCCTTAGAAACATTGCTCGCATCTGCTGTGATCACCGGGTAAGTAATAGTGAGGTTAGACACAGGGTATTATATATATATATATATATATATATATATATATATATATATATATATATATATATATATGACTAGGCTAGCCTTCCAATGAACGCCTGGGATCTATAGGGTTTGCTGCACTAAAAGACCCTCAACTCTCACTGCTTTGACCTTCAGAACAAGTCACCTCATTGATTACGAGTATATCTGAGTTACTTATTGAATGTTTCACAAAAGAAAAGTAGTCCTTAAGACAAAAGATAACCCTAACCGTGCTGATTCTGGGAGTAGTCAGAAAATCGATTGTTACTCTTTGATGTAAATTCTCTAATATAAATATTTCCTGAATCCCAACGTATGATGTAAAAACCGTTGGAAATATGTTTAAAGGTAATATTACAAAGTCGCAAATTTGATTTTATTTGTTAAGTGAACAAACTATTGGTCTCTTCTGAGAATGGCACTTCATTTGGATTCTTTACTTTGATTGTAAACAGTACCATACCCATGATCTTACCTAAAAGTCCATGGTACACTTTGTATTGTATAGCGTTTATCAGGATGTTATGTAATTGGCCCACGATCCTTCCTATCAATTCATCTTGATGATCAGCAAGTAATCCTGTTTTCAATTTACCCCGAGACAGCGTTATGAGTGTGCCCACTTTGTATTCAAATAATATACACGAAACATTTTAACGGTGGTTTTCTAAAGTATATAAGAACTTTCGTCCACGTTTAACCGAATAGTTTCACCGTATTTGGGCGCCGAGTTGATATTAGATATGAAAGAGAATGTATTTGTAAAATCTCGAATCCATTCGCTAAGATTTTACAAAGGCTTTCTAAGGTGTTTATATTGATCAAATAGTTTGTTTAGTTTTATGTTTATATTTTTTGTATGTATATTTTGATTTTAACCACAATTTCTAATTATACAGGTTCAGAATACAATGCAGTCTATAAAAAGAGTAAGACCATTTTTGATTAAAATTATAGATTTCTAATTTCAGAGTACGCTATTAACTGGATTGCCAGTTTCAAAAAATCCTCATATTGTAAATCTCTTAAGAATTTAATAAATCTCCCAATTTTAGATTCTAACATCACTTTACAGGCGTATACTCAAAGTGCTTGCTCTTATGCCTGAGGAATCCAGTTATCGTAGGCACACAAACGAAATAGTACAGTCCAGACTGAATGCTGTACAAAAAGTGACTTATTTAGTTGATGTTAATGCTTTCTGGTTTTAATAAAAGATTTCGGATATTCCCACTCTTGAGTCTACCATTGATTGTGGTCAAATTGAAGAAGTTATCGTACAGGTAGGTATGGTTTGATGCTTCATTTCTTTCACGATTAAGTTGTAACTTTTCGTGTCTCGACCATATGCACTTATTGGCGTTATGATATTAACGAATAGTTTGAATGACTTCCAGTAACCCTTCAGTTACCCACTATCTCTGAACAATTGTATTAGGGAGTTAACACAAACCCCCAACTCTTAGTTCTTTTGAAAAGGCTGTAACTAATCAAAATTGTGGTAGAGCTGCATCCCATAATTAGTTAAATCCTTGGATCATTGAGGATAATCGTTCACTTTTGGCTGTTAGATTGACTGAGATATTAGCTAGAACTCGGGAATCGGACGTAAACCCATCTGTTTGGTATCGATCTCTAACCGTCTCAGTTCGCAAGAAAGGAAAATAATTTTCATGTGTCAGGCACAGAGAAATCAGTTTGACTGAAATAGTGTTTGAAATATTGGCCTCAATAACCATACGATATATATATATATATATATATATATATATATATATATATATATATATATATATATATATATATATATATATATCATTTCACGTATTGAAAGAGATCTCGATAGACAGAAGTATCCAATATCGAAACAAGTGTGCTAATTTTCCCATTAGTTATCCTTTCCTTTCTTGTCTACACTCTACATTGTTAGTTTGTTTCTTGACTTGTTAATATAGGCCCAAAGAGAATATGATCTAGCACGTAATATGCTCAAGTGGAAACCTTGGGAACAGCTCATTGAAGAGGCTCCTCGCGATCAGTGGAAATGGCCGCTTTAAATAACCTTATTTAATATTTTAGCATACAAAGTACAATGTGTTGTAGATATACATTTTATTTTATCACATTTTATCTTTTTATTTTTTTATCTCAGTGATCAACATGAACTTATATAGTGTTGATAGATATAATTTAAATAACTTCAACTTGTCTCTTGCCTTAGTCTCTAAAAAAATATCACCGTTTGAAGATAGTAATTTTATTAACGATATCATTCGATTTCTCCTACTGAAGTTGATGCGGTAATATTGACTCTGTGACACCACAATCGAAATTGTAATATCTCTAGACTACATACAAGCATCGTTGATACAGAATGTGGATTTACGAAATGCAACATGTAAAATAAGTAATTAGAATTCATTTTTCAGTCATTGCTTTTTCGATCAGTACATCATAATCTCAGGTGATTTGGTGGCTTTTTTGTTCACATTAATTCCCAAAGGTGTTTAGGGTTATGTTGTAGATAGCGTCGAGTCTTGATGGACTATGATCATCACTACAATACGATTACGCGCCCAGAAACGACTTGGTCCCTTCGATAACTGGCAAAGCAGAAGGCTTTAATTAGTTCAAATAAAGTGTATTTATTGGCGATCTCGTGGTATCGAAAGAATACCGAGACGTGCCAACGAGTACATGCGAAAAGGGCAGAGCGTAAGAAAGTTCGAACCAAACAAGGCGGATAGCGGAACAAGAAGTGTCTTTGATACAGTTAAACAAGTACAGTAAAACAATTGGTTACAATAATAATAATTGTTTCTATTATTCCAATCGTGTTCTTATCGAGGCAAGCCGGTCACTACAGGAGCCCCCCGCTAGAAAGGGTTTACACTTTCGATACGCAGTGGTTTCGTTCGTGGGACTGGTCGCCAAACGTGCGATTGTAAAACGAAGGCGTTGGCAGAACAGGAAGTGATCGTTGATCCTCGAGTTGCCACCAAAGGTCTTTGACGTAGAACGGTACCAAGAGGAACGTACTGTATTGATTGTTTGGGTTAACGTGCCAAACCAGAATGGTTTGTATCCAGAATCTAAAGATTGCGTTCGTAGAGGTCCTAACCAAAAACGCTGCAGACGTAGGACGAAACCAGACTGAGCCAAGAAACCAGGTGCGACCAGAATAACCAAGTTCGGGACCAAATGTATACCATACGTATTTGGAGCCAGAGAGATCGACTGAGTGAGTTGACTAGAACTTGGGTGATCAGGCCAGCTTTCATCAAGGTTGACTGAAGTGGACGATACCAATACTGCGATGGTCGGAGGCGTAGGCTCGGGGTAAACCAAAAAATGAAAGAAAAAGAGAAAAGTGTAGTATAGAGGTAAGGTCCTACACTGTGTCCGCTGTTGGTTATGAGGTTAGTCGCGAAACCGTACGGGTAAGTGTACTCGGCGACCGGAACGTGAGACGGTAGTTTCGTGAGCCTGCACTCATCCGCAGTCAAGGGCGGTGTGGTCTGCTGGTCTGGACATGGGACGGAAGTCTCGTCCGTAGACGGGGCAGATGACACGTGCTGTTGACTGGGACGTGAGAATGAGGTCTCTGATGCATCTAGCGTGGGATACGAAGTAGATGTAGAGATCCCGCTAGAAGATTTGATGGGTCTAGCATTGAGTCTCGGCTTATCAGGTGGGGCACTGTCATCGACGTGTGCTGGCTCGAGACGACCAATGTTGACTATTTCGAAGCGACCATGTCGATCAACCTCGAAGGTCTTTTCGTGACGGGAAATCAGGTGAAAAGGGCCTTCGTAAGGTTGTTGGCTCAGATTGACCGTAAGCTGTTGTGTATCATAGTTAGGAGTGACTGAGTCATCCACAGCGCGTAGTCGAAGCATCGTAGCTTGAGACTTACTGTTACTGATAGGTACGACACAAACTTGGGCACCTGTATCCAAAAGGTACCTAGCGTTAGTGCGATAATTGTGCACGTAAAATAAATGGCCAACCTGAGGTGAAGGGCCGGTGAGTACGGCGGTACTTACTCACCGGCTCGGGAAGTTCTCGCCTTGTATGAGCAGGGAGCTCGACAATGACGGGCACCGGCCCTGAAGGCACGGTGGAACCAGCACCGACCCGAACTCGCTTCCGAAGCCGCCTTTTGGCGTGGCTTGGAAGATGCCCGCTTAGGGCGAGTCGTTATGGCTTTACGAGATCGTGACCTGGTTTGGGGGACGTAGGGTTTTGGCACATTTGATCGATCTCGAAAACAGACGAGTGTGGATACATTTATCCCTATCCCCATGAGCCATAGGTCGCTTAGCATCGAGATCGATGCTTGAATGTGAAGTAGAGGCAACTATATAGTTGTCTCGGGCGATAATTCGTGCTAGGATTTTGTCTGCTATGAGAGCCACCTGGTTGAGTGGGGTGTCCTCGAGCAGAGCCGTAAGGGTTGGTTGAATACTTGCTGGTAGAGCTTCGAACCGCAGTTCTTCGACTACCTGTGGGTCAGCTGTCGTGTCTCCTGCAAGAGATTGCAAGCACGTTCGGTTTAGGGTTAGGGGTTAGTGTTACGTCGCGAAATATTGCGTATTGCGATAGGACTACACGAAATTCTACCGATTGACCAAATTCAGATATCCTAGTACGACCCCAATACTGTTCCCCGACTCCAATAAATCAGAACACAACCGTTAAATGAGAATTGCTTATGGGGTCTGAAGCAGAACAACAATGATTTACAGACAAGGCATATTTATACAGCGAAGATGACTATGAACAGTAATCAATGGAAAGAAAAGACATAAAGGTTAAAAATAGGACAACTCAAAATTGACCAATAGGAAAACGACACGTGAAGTCATAGTTGGGACAACTGTAAATAATGACCAATAGGAAATAACATGTGACATATGTGGAAAGTCTGAAAAGGTACCAGTTTACGTTAGGATTAGGATTGACAGAGAAGCTTTGGAAGATGTGGAAACCTTTACATATCTGGGCAGCATCATTGATGAACACGGTGGGTTCGAGGATCGGCAAAGCAAGAGCAGCATACTTACAACTGAAAAACATCTGGAGCTCAAAACAATTGTCAACCAACACCAACATCAGAATTTTCAATACAAATGTTAAGACAGTTCTTCTGTATGGGGCGGAGATGTAATGAACTACGAAAGCCATTATCCAGAAGATACAAGTGTTTATTAACAGTTGTCTAAGCAAGATACTTCGGATCCGATGGCCAGACACTATCAACAACAAGTTACTGTGGGAGACAACAAATCAGATTCCAGAGGAGGAAGAAATCAGGAGGAAGCGCTGAAAGTGTATTGGGAACACCTTGAGGAAATCACCCAATTGTGTCACAAGACAAGCCCTCACATGGAATCCTGAAGGTCAAAGGAGAAGAGGAAGACCAAAGAACACATTACGCCGAGAAATAGAGACAGACATGAGAACAATGAACAAGAACTGCATTGTAGTAGTTATTCGAAATTTTGTGCTGTCGTTCAACCCCTGTTCAAAGTCAACAGTTTCCATAATGCTTGCTCTTAGTTCGATTTTTCCTTGTTAATTAACTGTTATCGAGTTTAGACACAACCGACTGTCTTCATATTTCGAACAAAAAGACGTTGTTAACATTACAGACACCTCAAATATTGAGGTTTGTAACTAAATGTTGTCTATTATTCACTAAATAATCAGTATTTGAGACGAAAAGTTGTTTGTGATCTTCAATTTTGCATTTATCTCAATGGAGTGACATGAACGCTTCCATATGCTTATCAGTTATTTTCATCTTACACCGTAGGTTAAAAGTGACAATCGGTGGTTATTGTGTGCATCGCTATCTTCTTCCTGTTTGTATCAATCAAGTGCTTTTGAAATGAAATATAAGCACGTTTGGTATTGGAATAAGAAATTTTATGACCACATTACTTATTGAGAATCCAATGAAAATGAGTAAGATTTCGAATGTACGAAATAATAAGGTATTGGAAAAGAAACTGTGTTCTGATTGAAACAATTTGAAATTGTCTAAATATATTCAACTGCATTTTTATGATTCAAAGGGTTTTTCATTTGAAATGTAAATTCAGACAATTTCTTTCAATTCCTTTGGTTTCCTTGTGTCTACTAGAATTATTACTGAGATTAATTGATGAGAAATATTAAGAATCATGAGATTCTAGTTTCTATCTAATTCAAATGAAATCTACTTCAATACAAAGTATAGTCAACGCTTTTTCTTCTGACTAACAATAATATGTAAATCAGTTCATAATAATTAAAACTCAGATCTGTAGTTGAGCTATTTCATAAATGAACACAACAAAGTGAAAAGTATAAACAGATAATGTAAACGTGATTCTTGTGAGATCTGTATGTTACTCATGATCTCTTCAACATTAAACCCATGATCATTTAATTTTAAATTATGTATTGAGTTAGGTAAATTGAGATGTTGATCTGTTAACATTTAAATGTCTTTCCCTTCTACTTAATCACTTCAATTACACTGACATCATTACAAAGACAACGTGAATCAGTAAGAAACATTGTCATAATTTAACTATTTTAATAATTGGAAATTATGTATAAACCATTTTAGTTGAAGTCACAAGCACGTTGGATGTTTATATTCTGAGAAATGAACACTTACATTAAGGTTTCTCAACACACCACCAATGAATTCAGTTAAAATGTGGTGACTATAAAGAAAAATGTTTCGTTTGCATTTCAACAAAACATCTAAATAAGTATCTTTCATTGTTGACACAGAAAGATTAGTTGTATGGCTTTTCCTTAGCATATAACATGAATTAGTATACTAATTCTCAACCAAAATGTACAGAACATGTTTGTAACAGATAGTTGTGTATAGCTCTACCTAAACGTAATAAAATCCTTAATGACCATAACACTTCATTATTTAGCACTCAATCACCAAGTAAACACTAAAATGACAAAATAGGTGGCGGGAGGACTCAATAAATAATGAAAACTTCACTGATAGATTCAGTCTTAGTGAACTCATTGGTAACAAAGTGGCTGACACGGAAAAAAGATGATTCTACTGATGATGCAACGGATATTCTAGTTTTACAACTAGATACCAGTAGCACCTTCTAAATTCGGTTGTTCCCAGTCAGATAGAAATCAGAAGTCGGACGAGAATAGGCTGGAAAGATATATTTGATTCGTTACCAATATATCGAGGACCTTTTCTATGAGCTGGCTAATGAAACGTAGGAGCTGTGTCCCACGCAGTATTGAAACGTGATCTGGTGCGGATGCATGACCGAAAGCCTTCAGCTAAACAAGTCCACTTAAACAACGTGGTCAGCATCCAATGTCGAACACTTAATGAGCTATTGATTTTGGGGAA